GATTGTATTTAACTATGCTGTGGGGCACGACAAGGATGCAAAAAAACAGAGGCAACAATAAGTGACAGAGAGCACAGAGGGCAAAAAAGGAAGCATTAGTCATTAAAAAATGGAAAGCTGTGTTACACACTTACGCACGCACAAAAAGAAACACTCATAAAAATACTGTGTTTCCATCATTTTGTAGGATATTAGACTAATCCATATCACTGCTTTCCCAACTGATCCAAATCTTTAACTTGGATCATGACAGACCACCTCCAGTTCTGTCCTGCAGAGGAGCAGAAGTGGGTTTATGGGCCAGGTAGGTCAACATATTCAAGGCATTCGGTGTCTCTCAGGCTTCACGGTGCAGGAATTGTGTACACAAACGTACAATATACAGATTACATACAGTGCAAGACTCATACAGTGAAACAAACAAAGTGCAGTCGTATGTGGGACCAATCAAGTAGCACTGGGGTTCTGAAATGTGGTGCCGTTTGTCATTCCTTCAGATATGCAGGTTAAGTTATGATCTGGCAGAGGAGATCATACAAAAAAAGTTTGAGTACAAGGTACGAGGGCTCAGTACATTTTTTTTCAGCTCAGTCTGAGAGTCTTAACAGTTGTTTTTCTGCCTTGTCTTGCATATTCACGTTAGCGCGTCCCTGCAGACTGTGTCCACTGTGTTGCAGCTCCGGAGCTCTTTGATCATAGCAAAGATTAATTATTTGCTGCATTTTTTGCTCTGAAAGGATCAGAGTTAAATTTACATCATTTTAAGATTAGTTGCAGTATTTTCAGGAATTACACGATTACGAACTTGGAATAACATTCAAACTAAAAAGATGTGTTGGCCATCTTAATCATCCTCATCCAATCTTAAAAATCTATGGGTCAGTAGTTTCCTGTGTGTCTCATGGGGTGATTCATAATTCCAAAACTAGGCCACGGTTTGTTGCATAGGAAGTAAATGATGATGTGTCCAAATCATGACCTGCCAGTATCTGCCTGTAACTACATTACACAAACTCCAACAAACAACGTGACTCATGCTTAAACTTATTTTTTTGGGGAAAAACCGCATCTGTTCAGAAGCACAAAAGTGCACACACATTTAAAGACGGCAGACGAAGGAAAAGAGATGAATTAATGTGTGTAATGAGGATTCGTTAAATTAATGGCAACTCTTTTTAGTACTGAGGCACTGAATGCTTCCAAGGAAATGCATTTGTCCACTGAAACAAAGTCTTTGTTCCAGGGCCTCTGGATAGGGTTAATGACGACAATATGAGAAATAAAAGCCTCTCCAAACATCTTCAATAGCATACAGTATGTTCAGTGTTTCCCTTTTTGTAGCACATAAAATCTATGACCACCTGGATTCTATGTGTGAGTGCACATTTGTGTGCATGTAGCCTACAGGGTGGACATCTTTGTCCTCAGTTCAATAGCGCTGTCACCTGCCCATGAATTATGGAAGTGTCTGGAAGTGACAAAGCACAGCTTAAAGCCTAGAGACACTTTTATTGAGTTGTGAGACCTGATGGATGTGTGCCAGTGTGTTTGTGAATGTGTATTTGTGATTCTCAATGTGGATCCCTTCACCGGGGTTCTGATGAAAAGACAGATCTCCCTCCCTCCACATCTCCACTTTTCTTCCTTGTCTCTGTGGAGGCAGCACTTCCATCACATCTTCTCTTGTTTCTACCTTTTTCTAACATGCAGCTGTCACAAAAAACAAAAAAACAACCAAAAAAACAAATGGTGGTTCAAGGGTTTGGAGGTTTAAGGATTTTTCGCTGAACATCAAGCAAATCCTGTCAGCCTGGTGAAACTAAATCCAGTCGTTACTATATTTATTTAGGGTCTCCTATGGGCTTTTCTTTTGTACATGGTATAATTTTTGTAGTTTTGTACCTGTTTTCGTATGATAAGCACGTAGGCTACAATCCAGGACCAGCACAAGGTCCTGTTGCTTGCTCAAGTCTGTGTGACTCAAATACTAAATAAATAGGTCATGTCATATAAGGTAAGCTGCAGATGTCATTTCTGAGGCTTTTTTCTACAACAAAACTGTTCCACATTGGGTTACTATAGCAACACAGGTATTTTAGAGTCTGAAAAAAGACATCTAAGCATTGATTATACTAAAAACACTGTATTGACTTTTATCAGGGACCTGAAATGGTTTGAAATGGCATGTTTAGCTTGCTGAACATATAGAATGGGTCAAAATGTCCATGCCACAATACACAGGAATTTTCAATTAAGGAGACAGCATTGGATATAAGGATGCATGATATTTATGATAAAAAAGAAGGTTTACTAAATAATCAGAAATAAGGTAAAAACCAGAACTCCTGATCCCAACAATGAAGGGATCTGTTATGCTTGAATTATCTGACCACTTGTCCTCTTTGTTTGATGTGAAAACATACAAAGAAATGTGTTTTTCTAAAGATTAAGCTAACTTCTTATTAAATCTTTCATCTCTGTAGCTTCAGTGCTCATTTTTAGACTGAAGAATACATGCTCTGAGAGTTATTTTTAAAAGATTGAAGACACTCAAGAATTCACAAACTCTTCTGATCGCAACTCGATTTTACAGGAGAGATAACAAAAACACAGCAAAATGAAACTTTGCATTAAAAAGGAGGAAAACAAGCCTGAGCGTTCTGCCTCTTGTGAAAATTTTAGACAAAAATAAAAAATACATCACAAAAAGAGCCGGCAGCCCTGATAAGCATCACACGCACACATTCATACACGTTTGCACAAACACACAAACAGGAACACATGCGCACACACACAGAGTCTCAGGCATAAATTGAGTGTGTTACCTGTAATGCCCTGAAGTTGTTATCTTAAAGTGGCATCCTGGAGCTTGAGGGTTAGTGGCTGCGTGACTTGTGGAGCAGATTTACAGAGCCGAGAGAGAGCGAGGTACACAGAAACAGTTACATACAAGCAGTGGATATGAGCACACAGGTGAACACAAAAGGACTTTGAACAACATTGCGTATGCACACGGTTGTGTAGACTGTTCCACTGTTATTAAAAAGATATGTGCCTTGAATCCCTGCTCCAGCGGTTTCCTTTTTTTCCAAATAATAAAAGCCTGTTTTCACTAGATTCAGTCCATGTTTGGGGGGGGAAAGTGGTTAAAAAAAAAAAACTTGGATGTCCTTAGCTCACTTACCTCTTTATAGATGCCTAACTTTACAGAAGCATCCATAAAACTCACTCAGGTTGGACCTGGGGCTGACACAATAATAGCCTCATGAGATGGAGAGGTAAATGGAACTGGAACGCAGACAGGAGAAATGTGTGCGCCTTTCTCAACTGGAGCGGAAAACACTGACCTGCGTCTAAATCACTAACAAAAAGTAAGGGACAAGAGCTTATTCTCCTCTAATTTTTGCATCTCACAGCCACATGAACAATGCAAAGACTAATACAAATGTTCTTGCTTATCAAATGATGAACCTGGCTTGAAATGTTATTAAGTTTTTGTTAACTTGATAGAAATACATTTTTAAGTAACCTATTCATTCTCATGATTCTTTTTTCATTTAATTTTCTCATGAAAAATTTGAATAAATGTAAAATAGATCCTGTCATTTAGAAGAGGTTGACAGACCTTCTCCTCTTACATGGACTTTTTATTAATTGTCATTGTCATTCGTTTGGTTGAACCAAAAAGCTTGAAATGCATAAACCAAGTGGCACAAGGTACAAGTTAAGCACCGTGTAATACCAAAGGCATCATTGCTCTCGCCGTCATTCATTTCCTTTAATTAGGCCGACTCTCTGTGTGTCCATGAGGATTTGACATAAATTCTAATTTGATGCACTCTGAAGTCTGATTAATTCATAATTACTGTGGAAAAAATGAATAAATGAAGAGGGCACAGGGGGCAGTGAGAATGAAGGGGTGTATAGAAAAACTTAACAAAAGTGAACAGTGGAGTCCTCTGAATGCAGAGAAAGCTTCAGACAATATTGGTTTCAGACAGATGATAATAATCCTTTTAAAGTAAAGAAAGCCAGTTACTGATACGGTGTTTTTTCATTGGCTGTTTTTTTTTTCCTGCCAAAATCGAGCCCAGCTTGGTAATAACACTATTGAACAAAAATGTTCTTCATTGATACGTGCGAGAAATATGGTTTCCATTGATAACCAGCCCAGTCCTATAAAATTTTCAAGCAAACTGCATCACATCAAAGTTGGAGCACAATGGCGAGCTGAATTTAGAAAGAAAATGATGATTATCTGCAGTCTGAAAAGAGCTGAAAAGACAGAGATGGTGCGAAAAAAGACGGATCATCAGTCATACGAAAGAACACGGCACAAAGGCAGCCTTGCGAGGCAGTGAGGGGAAAAAAAGCAAAAAAGCGAGTTTGTGGCTTAGAAATGAAAGATGAGAAAATATAACATGTAAGGAAGTTCATCTTCTCAGCAGACTGGCAGTCCTGGGTGCGGTCTGATAGATGATAGATGAAGTGCACGTCTTGTTTTCTCCATTCACGTCAGATTTAGTCACATGTGTATGTGTGGATTTTTGGATTTAAACCTGTTGATTGGCTTTTCTGTCCAAAGTTTGTATGTTGTCTCTGTGTCTTGCCGTCACATAAAAGGGGTAGGATAGGTTATTATGAAATTGGCCGTAGGTGTGAGTTTGCACAGCTTGTGTGTCTGTTTGTGTTAACCCTGGATACTTCAGCCCTCACCCAATGTCAGCTGGGACAGGCTCCAAGCCCAAGGGGTTGTCTGGGTTAAGCTGATGTTGCTAATGCAGAGTGACAGAGTAATAGGAATGCGGGAATAGTAATCAAGGTGTAAATTTAACACAAACATCTATTTTGAACGTGGCAACAGCACTCTCGCTGATTGACTTGATATCTCCAACTGCCGCTCTTCAGCTGCATTTTCTCAGAATGTCACACGCTCTGTCGAGTTACGTCTTGGATGAAAGACAAAAGGAAAAATTGATTGGGACCATCGAGTGAATTTTTATAGGTAACTTTAATTTTGCTCTTACACAATTGGAATATATGAAAAGTGTTGACAAAAGGGAGAGCTTGAATTCAAAGCCAGCCTATCAAAGGGTACATCATGTACGTATAAATGCCGAAGGTTTGCCATGGTAGTGCTGATTCAAAGCAGGTCATCTTTGTCACAAACTATAAATGTATTGGGCAATAATTAATCTATCATGTCTCACGAGTCGTTCCCTTTATCAACAAGTTGATGACACGTGGGCCTACTTGCTTGCTTCTAAGAGGAACACACAACTTTCACACACAATGGTTTTTAGAGCAGTTAATATATATATATATAGTGAAAAAAAGAGAGGAACCTTTGTTTTCAGTGAAACATCTCCATGGTGACAGAAATATATCTGTGTCTCTTTGTCATTCATGTCTCTTTGCGGCCCAGAACAGCATCATAGATCTTTCCAGTGAGGCAGTGCTGGATGTTGGAGAAGCCAGCAGCAGCCAGCAAGGCAGCGTACTGAGCATCTGTCCTCTCTCTGCCCTCTGTCTGCACCAGCATGTTAAGGGAGTAGAGCTGTACTGTCAGTGGGCCAGATCCATCCTCTCTGAGCAGTGCCTCCACCAGCAGCACAGCACCTCCTGCAGCAGGAGCAGAAAAGAACGTCTGATCTATGGGCTTGTTGCTTTCATTGTGATTCACATTCATTTTATTTTTTTTCTAGCAAGAGGTTATGTCAATAAAGTTTTTTTTCTAAACTGTACATGGAAATAGGACAGTATGGATTGAATAAGTAAAACTGGTGAGGTCCAAAATTTAAATCTTTAATTAAAATTAAAAACTTTTTGTCCATTTGAGTAAAGTTAACAAACAGAGAGCTGAGCTCAGATAATGTATATGGAGTTAGTGGGACAAACAAATATTATTCAGTAATGCACTGATACTAAAATTCCGTGTAACACTTTTTCTGAATAGCACATTTAAATTCTCTCACTGGTGACTGTTGCAATGCACACCATGCAACACAACCTGTTGCAAGTGATGGATAACAGTGGCCTCATTTTAATCTTATTTGTTCCTCCGGGTCTTTTACACACTATGCTACCCAGTAGACAAATCATTGCCGTCTCTTCCTTTCTCTCGTACCCAGTGTCACAGTGTCTGCTCATTTTGTGTCTGGGTGTCTGACTTTGATCAAAGCCACAAGGACAGATTTTTCGGGGATCAGCTGCGTTGTGGGATACAATCTGCCATCTCATTTCAAGGAGAAGAAAAAAAAAGTAATCATCCCTTTCACAGTCAAAGAGACACACACACTCCCACACGGACCTGGTTTGCAGGCTTTATAGATTCTGCAAAGTAGTTCAATGCAGCGTTCATCTGTCCAGTCGTGGAGGATTCTGGCAAGAATGTACAGGTCAGCCGCTGGAAGAGTGTCTTTGAAGAAATCCCCTAAAATACAGACACAAATGCACCATTTCATTTGAACTCTGAATGAGCTTAGTCACAATGACCTCCAGAAAGACGAGTGCAGAAAAAAATAATAGCTTGCTCTGTACACAGAGCACAGATGTAGACGATGAATCTGATTCGCTGATGTGTGTCTGTAACATGTGGTGGAACCAGGAAAACGTTACTGAAGGCGCCAGACCCAATGAGACCAATACATTAAGACAGGGGTGCCCAACTCCAGTCCTCGAGGGCCACTGTCCTGCAGGTTTTTTAGGTTTCCCTGCTTCAGCCCAACTGATTCTGATTAAGTGGATCAGTTCAAAGGCTCTGCACAAGCCTGATAATCGCACACGCGTGGGAATCAGGTCTGTTTAAGCTGGGAAACTTTTAAAACCTTCGGGACAGCGGCCATCGAGGATCAACTTTGGACACCCCTGCATTGAGATATAGACACAGGGGAGATGTTTCTTTTTTCTTCTTTTATCTTATATCACTCTTTGCAACAATCCCGCTGCTATGTTCAATACAAACACAATTTAAATTTGGCTGGCAAATGAGCAATAGCTCAATAGCTTAATGTCCAACTGTAGACGGAAATGTGCCTTAGATGTATGTTGTGTCTGGGATACACACTGCAAGAGGACTCGGTTTGCAGGTTAATCATTATTCAGTTAAATTATTTAACATAACTATTCATTATTCTGACAAGCCTTTAAGTAATAAAACATGACCCAGTTTGTGGTTTACAACATTAATTAGTACAAATGGATAATTCCTGGCGTAATCAAATTCCACCTAATGCATGCGGCCCACAGAAATTACAGTGCATTCCAGTTTCTTTCCAACATTCAGCAGTTATTGAGTAAGTGCATCTCAATTCAACCTATGACACTAATTCAGAAACAGCTGTTAAAATTCATGACAGAAGGATTTGCACAATTTAAAATGATACTTTATAAAGTCACATTTTATGATGAATATTGGCTCAATTCTAATCTGATGTCAGCAGCATGACTGAAAAAGTTGGGATAGGGTGAGAAAGGGCTGGAAAAGAAACACCCGGATTAATGTGTTGCAATTAATTGACAGGCAACGGGTCAGTTAGTGGATATGAAAAGCGAATTTAAGAAGGGCAGAATTTTTTGGGAAGTAAAGATGGGCAGAGGTTCACTAATCTGAAGAAAGAATCTGGGCACAGCTCTGCGTGGACGAGCTATGACTGAAAATCAATAATGGATAACCATGACCTTTAGCCCTCAGGCCCTGCATTAAAAATAGACAGGATTTTGTCATGGAAATCGCTGCATGAGTTCAAGAACACTTCCAAAAATAACTACCTGTGAACACAGTTTGTTGTGACATTCACAAATGCAGGTTAGGGCACTATGATAGCAGACGAAAAAACGTCCATGATAGTCTCTCTTTTCTTTAGTCCTCCAGAAGTCCTGTGAAAAGGTTTTAAGTAACTTCCAGAGGAAATGTTTTTAAGGAATGCTTTGCATACTTTGGCAAATCAGTGCCAACCCAGATGTATGACGACAGCATGGCTTCTAAGAAGAAAAGTCCAGCTGCTGGACTGGCCTGTCTACAGTCCGACATTTTCACCAATTAAAATTTCACATACTTACATTGAAGTAGGGAATACAGAAAAGACTAAAACTGCTGAACAACTCAATTTTGTTCTAATAAGGTTAATAGAACATCACTCCACTCGCAAAGGAACAGAAACTGGTCTCCTCAATTCCAGGGTATGAAAAGATAACGTTTCACAGTGGTCAGCATGGCACTCGCCCAACTTGTTTTGAGATAATTGTTGATATCCAATTCAAGGTGGACTTTTATCAGTGGGAAAAAATAGTTGATATTCAAAATAGTTGATATTCAAATAAATACATTCAGTTTCACAGTTGTAAAAGATGATAACTCAAAATTAAGTTAACACACTCAAGGTGAGGACCCAAATATGGAAAATCAGAAAGTAAGTGGAAGGCAACTAAACTATAAAATATTAAATCAAAACCAAATACAAAAAAAACAACAAAATGAACTGAGCAGCAAGAGAAGAAAAACAATCCAAACTATATTAAATCTACACACCCTCTGAAAAACACCTGTTGTGTTGCCCTGCAAGCAGCAGGAGAGACAGAAATTGACTTTAGCCGCAGGGTTTCCAGATTATCAGCTGTTGTGAACCTTTTTTCCCCACATTAGCCGCTGTAGTGTATTGCAGCAGCACAACAGATGAAGTGTTAGGTACAAACTGGCAGCTTTGTCTTATCCAAAATATATATTTGACATTGTGTTCTTGTCACCTCATTTGGAAGCTCACGTGAATGTTTACACAGCCAGACACACAGAATATCAACATGCTGAGCAAGCAATAACAATTCAATACTTCTCACTAATTACTATGAAATATCAAAAATACCTGACCCTAAATGGAACTGTCAGTTGCTCTCAGTTGAGTTCTATTAGCTTCCTCGGGAGGTCACAAGCTTGGAAAATACAAATCAGTTCTTCCACTTCCAAATTAAATCTGTAGTTACAACAGCAGAAAGGACAAGTGTCACCGCAGAGCCTTGATTCGGGGCAACGAAGGAAGGTTCATGACAATTCATGGAGTTTCAAAGTCACAAAGTGATCAGGTATGATAAGGTTTGACCTCAGCACACTTGTCAAACTAAGCCTTTTTCCCCCTCAGAATGAGCAGAGTGGGAGGCGTACTCTCTCTCCACATAAGTTAAACAGTCCCCCTGCTTCTGTCATCACTGTGATCGACCTGACAGGTACCAGTCGCCTGTTTCATTTTAATGAGACAGATTCTTATTATCAACGCCACATTAGAATACAGACACTGTATTCCAAGATAGATCAATAGCGGATGTACCTGTAGCTGTGGTCAATATAAGAGGTTAAACAAGCACAGCATAAACAAAACCCGTCATATCTGTGTGGAGTTTGCATGTTTTTCTCAGATATGCAAGTAATCGTTCCAGATTAAAGCGTGAATCTCAGGTTATTTGGAGTCTCTAGACTGACACCAGACATGAGTAGTAATAACATGTGATAAGATGAGCATGTGTCCCTGGGGTAGACACCCAAGCCCTCCCAGGACCCTGAATTGTCCGTGGAGGTACAGAAGATGAATGTGAATGTGGAAGGCGCTGCACTTGAACCGGCTTTATTCAGCTACAAATGTCAAGTGATTTCACCCCACTGTAATGACGTTACCTTCATGGAAGCCGATCCTCTGGTCAGCCTCGTTGACAAAGTGTTGCCGCGACATACGCACCACCTTGGGGAGGTCAAAGATCGTCACTGTGCATTCTGGGTAGACTGACGTGCACTGCTTGGCTAATGCTCCACTGCAGCCTGCAGAGAGGGAGAGAATTACTTTTGGTCATGGCACAGTGAATATATGACCTTCATTAACAAGAAGGCTCTTCTCATATTCACTTTGCACACAAACAAGCATCCAGCACATTGACACGTCAGTTGAATAGGTGCTTTCAGGTATAAACCCATCATTTATAAGCATTATTAGTATTCATTTGAACGTGGCAGCACTGGGAATATGGTTCATTTAACATTAATTCTACTAATGAGGGTAGAATTAAACTGAATGTAGAGCAACAGAGAGAGACACGGTCTCAGAGTCTTATTAAAGTATTTAATCTGAGAAAAAAACCTTCTGACTGTTATCTGGTTAATGCTGAAACGCATTAAATCTTTTCATTGTTTTTGGCAATGTCAATGGTGTTTATTTCAGGATAGTAGAATAGTTTTGGTTCATTTTCTGAGAACCTAATAGCATTTTAGTCTTCGTTAGTTGAGCTTGGATCCTAGACTTTACATTTAAATCTTAGGATTCTAAAATTTTCCATTGTATTACAACTGTTGCATTACTCACCAGGAACCATTTTAATACACTCTGTGCGAAACACATGAACATGTTATGTTTTTATGTTATTTTATTTGCCGCGCAATGAGGTTGATTTTAACACGAGATATAAATCAACATATTCTTCACATAAGCAATAAACTTACATTCACAGACTTACTGTTCTCCCGTTTCCTTTCAGTTAAAGAGATAACTCGTGTTATAAAGCAGAAGCCATACATCTGAGCGGAGAACGAGACCTTGAAATGAGTATGCCCACACACTCATGCACATGAAGGCAGAAACATGGATTTAATGTGGAAATATGAATCTTGATGCTTTGGCAGTATTATTATCATCTCTCATGCTCCATAAAGTCAACTGAATCTCATTCACAAAAGAAAAAGTGATGGATAATGATAAAGACAAAAGGAGATAGAATGGGCAAAAGAAATAGCTAAGTGGAAAATGCAGGAGGGGAATGAACTGAGGCTGTGAGAGTGAATACGGCATCAAAGGAGCTCACTGACAAACCTACAAAGCCAGGCAGACTTGGGCCAGTGTTTGTGTGTTGATACGTGTGCAGAGAGGGCAAGCTTTCCTCCAAGCTATCCTCCGATATGACCTGCTGTTGCCACATCAGTGTGTTTTCTTACAAAGCTCTATCTTTTCCCACACACACACACAAACACACATACAAACATAGAGCCTATGTGGCTATCAAACCAAGCAGGGGTCAGTAAAGGATAAAAATCAAAGGGCAACAAGGAGGAGCAAAATCAAACACACAACATATTTTTCAAGACCCAACACAACCTGGCAGCCACAATCTCTTAATGAAATCCATCAGTGGGAGTTTTGTGATTTTTAAAAAACAAAAACAGGGACATCATCATATAAAATCCTTTTCTTTTTTTTGGATGTCTTCAATTATGTATGTGTGCTTGGCCATGTCCGTATATACTGCATAGATGGACAAAAAAGTCTTAGAAAATACAGATTTTTGTGGTAAAATGTTGTGGGTAGAACTCAAATGTTGTGAAGGAAACAAAACACTTGAGTAAAAACACGGGAGTACATAACAACTACTTCAAATAGTGCTTTTCCTTATGGTTTTTCCAATTATTTGGCAACCAATAGGTCATAAACCCATTTTTTGAAAACCCATCTATTCTGTTGCAGGTTAAGAGACCAGGGAACCCTAAGGAAGTAAAAAAAAGTCCTTCAGACTTCAGATGGTCTGAAAGAGAACTCAGAGTAACCAGAAGAAAATCCTTTATGTTCAGATCAGGAAACATACATTTCATCTGAGTGCCTGTTCAGTGTTTGGAGAGGTATGTGTGGGAATAAAAAAACAGGAAATGTTGACCATTTCTCTGCTTGTTTTTCAGGGATTTTTCTGCCTCTTTTAGAGCACTACTTTGAAGCTAGACAGACAGATACTGCCTCGTGTCTCATATCCATTAGAGACCTAATCAGCTCGCTGGCTTGACAGTTGGACAGACAGAGAGCGAACCGAGCAGCAGGTGTGCCCAGACACAACAGATGCTGTGTGAGAGACGGGGTCTGCACGGGACGATACGGCCGTGCCCTTCAGTCTCCTGCTGCTTGCGTGCTCGCACTTTTTGGCGATGCAGCTTCATGCATAAGCATGACAATACAGCCCTACGCAGGGAAAGTCACAGAAGAGTGGGAAAATACATGAGGGGACCGAATGAGCTTTTAGTGGCTCCACAGCTCCCCTGTGTGGTCGGCTCAGGTGGTGCACGCTCCTTGCTGTCCATCTGTGGGGTTTGTGGGTCAGAGGTTTTGATCTTTTGTAAATGCATTTGGTATTACAAATGTATTCATGTCCAGCTCCTTACTTCTATTGATATTGAACTAGAAAAAGATTTTATCAAACTATTGATGTCTTAATTCCCAATTTGATTGCCATAAAATCTGTAGAATATGATTGCATGGTGGTATCAAATGAACAAATATTCTGATGAGTTTAGACAGAACAGACCAAGCATTAATTCCTAAAGACAGAGCCAGAGCTTTGTAATCTGGTTGGTACATGAGTGGAACCCATTTTAACCTTTTGCCTGAACTTGAAATATTGAAGGAGTCCAGGAGAAAACACACTCACACACTCACGCTCACCAGCTTTTGGACAAACCTATTGTAGCTTTCTTTCCATCCTTCTAATTTGATTTTGCTTCACTGCTGCTTGGACCTCTCTGGTGCACAGCCAGTTTTGACAGGCCATCATTCATTTTTAGTCTTTTTTAAGTTTGTTTTTCCCCAGCAAAAATCATTGCACCATTTGCTGTCTTTGTAAAAGGCTTACTAAAGAATCTCCCCTTAAAAGATGATTATTGAGTAGATTAAGTCTGACAAAGTCGTACATCAGACTTTTTCCAACTGTTGTAAAATTTTACATCTATGGCTCCTCCACTCTTTTCCTCACTCACTGCTTTTGCTCTACTTCTTCAGTTTTATGCAGAAAAACTACTTCTTGACCTTGATGCTTTCACATCCCAATGTAACCAAAAAAAAGGAGATTCTTCTGAAGCCTGTGACTGAAGCACACCAGTGTTGGGACCGTGACACTATCAGTCTTGGAGATTTGTGTGTGTTGAGGTGAACTGATTTACTTAAGGTAAGTTCAATTTGAAAAATAAATCATATTTGCCTATATGTCTATTAAAGGTAACAGTTGACTGTGCATGTGTTTGGTGTGATTTTCTTTTGCTCACATCTGTTTTAGATACATTAGCCTTCGCCAGCTGTCACTACATTAACACACATCAAATTTTAATTATGATGAACCCACAAACTAATGGAAACTAATAAGATGTTTTCATATACGAAAACACAAGCTTACCTCCAAGGTCACAGATGATTTTGAAAGGTGAAAGATCAAAGGCTGTGATCACATCTTTTCCACAGATGTTCCAAATAGAGTTCATTAACTGCATGAATTTGACCATTTCTTCATCAGACCTACACAACGACACACACAAAAAGGGAAAAATAATGTTTTTATTTTGATTTATTATTGCTGGCTCTTTCAGTTTTGTCCCACCACACCAAAGCAAAAAATCCTTTTATCGTTTTCTGTTTGCCGTCACCTCAGGGACAACGCGCTAAAAGATACTCACACATCCACACACTGCTCAAACACAGCGTTTTCTCCCTGTGGGGACACCATGGTTTTATACGTGCGTGACAGACAGGGTGTGGCGGAACAGAACAGCCCGTGGTGACTGCTGCTGCTCTGAGGAATCTCCCCCTTCATCAAGCAGCACCACTCCGAGGGCTGCGCGCGCACGTGCACGTGCACGTCCTCACCCTCGCACTGAGCTATTCCCATTTAACTGAACTCCGCAGCGACAAAGCGCGTCCTCAACTGATACTCAAAGCAACTTCATATGACACAGTGCCGTCCAGAGGAACTTTGAAAGTGACTCATGGCTGGCGTCAGACTCTGACTGTATTGGATGTGAAAAGAAAACAATGACTGAGAGGCCAAGCGGCAGACTGTCAGGTTTAATATGAAAGCACTTTGGGCGTTATGTATTGAATGCACTTAAAACAACAATGTCCCAGCTTTAACATGGCAACCCTATATAAAAACAGGTTTCCTGATTAAGTTTGGGCAATGGCATCATTTTTGCTAGGGTTAGACATCAGTCAGGGTTATATCTCATATAAACCACTCTCATAATGCATTGGTCAACTAAATCAATGCCATTTTACTGGTGGCCTTGACTGCGTGAGCTCAATACATCACAAAGAAATGTCACCTGGAGAAATTTAGGAACCAGACTCCTTTGACTGGGTTAGCACAGCAAACTGGGTAGGAACTAGCTGAGGTAGCAGAGAAAGTAAAGGGATATATAGACAGATACCATGATTTAGTTGAGAGAAAACAGCCTTCTAGACTTTAAAGTAAAAGTTTAGATAGACATTAAAAGTGTTTGCTTGCCTTGTATATAATGATAATGATAATGATAAGAAGAGGAAGAAAAAATGGGAAAAAAGGATGTTTTTATGTATTTCTGCATCCAAAAATTATTTAGAAACTCAAACTTCTATTAGACTTGTGTAATTCAATCTCATGTTATTTGGATACACAGAAAGCATAAATATGAGAATGTCATCATCATCAATCCAAGAAATTGTGTCTCAGAAATTTCCTGCTTTCCTGGGTTCAAGAATTGAAGCAAAGGACACGGCTGTAAATTATTCAGGTGCAGAACATGGGTGGTTAAATGGCGTAAACAGGGGTCTGAGTCATCCAGCTACCTTTGAATCGTCCTGCTCCCGCTGCAGCGCTCCCACAACGCGGTGAATGATTTCAGTGGCTGTTTCCCTTGCTAATTTACCCACAGTCTTCCCGGGGGAAATCAGCAGACACCAACAACTGCTGCTCCATGTTCAATCAGCAGTGCGCAGGTGCTGACATTGTTCTTGGAGGGAATCTCCGTTTTCAAGACAGCAGAGCTGAATTGCAAATGCCTCTTCACAGGTGTATTATTATTAGAAATGGAGACAGAAATAAAGAAAAGGCTGTGCCTAAAAGTATAGCGAATTTGACTTTTTTTAATCCCTGGTGCAGTTATATGTGATATAGACCAATTCATAAATGCTTATACTGATCAGTATGCTAGATTTATTTTGTTATCTGATGGAAATTATACAACATTTTGAATGTTGCATGTTTTCTCCAGTGAATGATGTTGAAGCAAAGTGAGGATGTTTTAGCAAGTTCTCCCTTGGTGTTTCACTTTGGATGGATTCTCGTCCTTTGGGCCGTGGTAGTGTTTAGAAGAAGAGGGCCTCAGGCAAGCATACTAACATCTTTTAGCAAACAAAGTGCGAATTCTTAAGTGTGTGATGGCCCCTAAAAACTGCTGACCAGTAGATCAGTGAAGCGTTAAAACTCCAGGCAGTGTACACTATAAACACGCCAGACCTCAAGGACAATGGAAGATGCATTCCCTCTTTGCTGTCCCCCCGCTTCTTCACATCCCTGCCCAACCCCCCCCCCAACCCCTACCCCCTCCATTTCTGCCTTTCTGTCACATTTCCTACTTTCTAATGAATCCCACTGGCCCCTCTTTTTTTAGTGCAAAGGAGGGAAAACATGACATACAAGCTTAAGAGAAATGGAATTGAAATGAACAGAAATGTGTGTGTGCGTGTGTGTGTGTGTGTGTGCGTGTGTGTGTGCTAGTGCCAATGACACTAGCACAAATTCTAACCTGTAGAGAGCCTCAAATAGATCTTTTGAATTGACTCCAAAAGCTTTTTCATACTGGTTTCTCCCCTCTCTGGAAAAGGAAAAAATAGAGTATTATAGAAAGATGTAATCACTGACAGATATGAATATTATGTTTTTCCTGCAAATATATTAGACTGAGATTAAGGAGTTCTTTTTATCATTTAGTACTAAATCTACTTCAGGGTTTCTCACACGTAGACTGATAGAGATATTTTCTGAACACCTCAAAGAGAGACCCCCTATCTCCTGCCAGTACCCCCCTCTTCCATACTAAATACCTCGTTCCTCATGTTCAAAAAGCCAAAATTCTTAACCACTTTGTTATTACAAAGAGTTCAGTCCAAGCTGCTTGTTTTCACTTCCTCCTCCGCTGAAGGCCCCTGCTCCACATTCAGTTGGGGGTAGTTCCTTTGTTTTAAAACCTCTGAAGTCAAAGCCTAAGATCCCAGCTCTCCCGCAGTTACGTCGGACATTTCTCATTCCCAACACATCGCCCGCTAGTGTTCGGTCACGACTCTTTGTGTGTCTTTTTTTTTTTTTTTCCACAGGTATTCTGTTCAATAACTCTGTTTCCTTTTGTGTCTCCTTGAGTCCTTAAATCTAAGATAAAGTGTACACTTTCTGACCACAATATTAGGACAACCATAAGAAACTGCTCATCACCTCATAATATTGCATGATATAGTTTATGTGTTAAATATTTGCATTCAGAAAGAGACTTAAAAAAATGATGGCCTAGATACTCATTTGGAATTTCCTCTCTTGCGTGAAGTGCCTGTGCTCAGTGGACTCACCTGACAGCGTCTGTGAGGTAGTGCCAGCACAGGTAGATGGTTCTGGAGCTGTACTGGATGGACTGATAGAGGGACAGAGGGCTGGAGCGGGTGAGGAAGACCCTGGCCTGCTCCGTGTTGCTGTAAAACACTGGACCGGGTGGAGGAGGACGGGCAAATGAGTGAAAACCAACAGTCTTAGTTGTGAGAGCACAGATTGGCTGTGTGTGTTGGAGACACTCTGACATGACAGATGTGAAAAAGAGCTGTTTGTCTAAGTGGAGCTGTTGACTGTAATTAACATAAAAATGGCAAACAGAGTAGACGTTAAATGTGATGCCGTTAGAGATGAGATAATTGAGCTGTAGTTTGATTTTCCGTCTCCGTAAAATTGGATTCTACTTGTCTCATGTCATCCATACATGTGTTTTTTTAATCTTATTCTCAGTCACTATTGATAGATAACACCTGATTCAGAATTATTGCAGTTTGAATTGACTGCTTGAACATAACTCTGTTTGACAGGGCAGTGCTTTTTGGGTTTCTGGGTTTTGACCTTGATCCTCCTCTCGGTGTGTGTTGAGCAGCTGCAGGCCGGTGCAGGCGGCCAGCAGCCTCTGGGTACCGTCCAGACTGGCCCCCACGGCCTGGCTGATCTCCTCCGCAGACAGAGGCCGGTCTGCACTGGACAGCGCGTCAAAAACGCCCAGTTCGCAAGAGGTGAACACCGTCTGAGTGATGACAGATAAGGTTTAGGTAATGTGGAAAAAAAGAGAGAAGGAGATAATGCATTTGATTGAGTTTAATTCAGGAAAAATACATAATGGATTGTGATAATATTAGAAAAACCAGTACGTATAGGGTTATGAGAACTGAGATTTCAACCTAACAGAGCCCAGTGTTAGTCATGTGATTGATCCTAATCTGCAAGAAACCTTTTGCTTTTTAAAATAGCTTGCTAAGGGGTTCCTAAGCGAGCTGTTTTATAAGCAAAATGCTGAAGTAAAGTTTGATTTCCTTAGGATGTTGTTGATGTCTGCAAAGCACATTGCGTTGATTAAAAAGTAATTTAAAGCATATTTTTGTGTTCTGCTCTTTGGAATTTACTGACACATCTTTAATTTATGTATCATGAGTTAACAATCTTAACTTTTTGAGCTTTATCAACATACTTTGGTTTATGAGGCTATATTGCTATCACAGGTCTAAAACAAAGTGAAGTGAATAACTGCTGAAAATGCAAAAATGCTATACAAATAAGTTGTTTTGTAACAAACCAAACATCTATAAAGTGCTTGTTTAGTGTGGCCTCGTTCTTTTATCACTAGGAAAACTGTAGTGGGTCCATACCTTAGAGGGCGGATAAATTACCTTAGATATAAGGAAGCCCTCCATGTATTCCAGTATTTTTCTGGGGTACAGGTCTTCAGCTGGTGCCCTCTCAGTGGAACTCATCTCTTGACATTTAGACATGGTTAGAGAAAAAAAGAAAGTCTTATACCTGGAAAACTGGAGTTCCCTGCAAACCTGCCAGCTTCTGGAGAGGCTTCGGCAGATGTTTGTGTGCGTAGCAGTGACAGCAGAACCAGACTAAAAGCAAAAGCGCCCACCCCGGCAGCCGCAGTGAGAGTAGCAGTGGGCTAAGCTGATTACAGCCAGATAACCCAGATTAGGGCATGGGCTCAGGCTGGCAGACAAAGAAACAACTCTGTGGGAACACTGTTGCCTTGTTCGCCATCACTCATCCACTGCTTCACATACCAGACCTGCTTTTCCCAACTTTTTAAATCACCAACACAAAAGGGAATCAATAGTGAAATATGATCAAAGCTTTTTTTTTTTTTTTGGGATGGAACATCTTCACCTTTTTCCTTCAAGTTTACCTTCCCTCTTAATGTCAGCCTTCTTTCAAAGGCCATTTCTGTTGAGGGTTCAGTGAGCAGTGGATACATTTATATTCATCAAATTTCTTAAGGTCAGATACCATGTTAATCTGCAGATTTCTTTTTTAGGGAGGCCACATTTTGAAGCTGAATTTCTTCATCTTTTTCAGGACAGACTGAACAGCATGCTGAAAAAAAAAGCCTCCGGTCCGGGAATCAAACCGTGCAGATAGGAGAGAAATCGGAATAAACGATGTCTGTGGAACAAGCAGATAGTCACAAAGTGCCGCAAGTTTGAATTTATTTACAGTATTTTCAAATGAGAGCAGACAGCGCAGGTACATCCTGAGGTAAGTGTCTTCTGCCACACCTAATTATTCATAGGCTCATGCCCAACAATCAGATTCAACTAACTACACAACTTAAGAAATATTATCTAAGATCTCTTTGCAATTATGGCCAAAGTCTATTGCTGCATATAAAAAAGGTTCCCAAAATGTGGTGAGGGGCATTGTTATATTAATCCTTTTTCTTTAAACTTTAAGAGATTTTGGAGAGCAAGAAAAAAAGCATTAAAATTTTGAAAAAAAAGAGAAGGTCATCAGGTTGAACTTTTTAATTTGAGCAACTTGCAGCCAAAACTCGACATGCTCCAGCAGAGCAAATGCAGAACAAACGTCTTTGCCCCGACAGGCACAAATCACAACGTAGGTGTGGAAATGTCAACGGAAGAAGATTAAACATCCCCAAAACAAATACAGCTAAAAGAAATTCTACAGCCTCTAACTAAATTTAAAAAAATACACATCCCAACATGTGACTGAAACACTGATCTTTCACCTTTGCTCTTTGACACGAACCCCAAAAATCAGATTATCAGGTCACAACAGAGACAAACCTTTGTTTTTTAAGTTCACATATTCAGAACAAGTACGAGTTCACAATATGCTGACTCATGTTCACCACACTGAATCAGGATTTCAAGCAGCAATACTTAGAGTTCAAATTATTCAACAAGTTACACCATGATCGCCACAAATATCGCACATTGTTAAGTTTTATTAGCCTTTTTTGAGCCTGTATCTGGAGCAAAACAAATGACAATTTGAGAATTATTTCTGCTTCTTGTAATTGGTAAGGACTCCTGATTTTCTAACAGCAGAGAAAGTATTTGTAATAGCGTAGTAGTTCTATCACAAATAATGTTTTGGTGAAAATATATATATACTGGGGCAAACTTTGACGCAGAGATAAATTCAAGTCAAATCAAACCATAAGCCGTTATGTTATCCAAGGAACTTGGAAGTATGGAAAGTAGAAAACTGAAACTTTCACATACTGCAACTTGAGGGGAGAAAATGGAGAAAAAAAAACGTAACACTTTATGACCAGAAGTGGTTTTGTGTACGTTGTGTGAGTGGAAAGACAGAATAACGGATCTAGTTGACCAAACCCCCCCAGCCTTCATGTCTAGCGCCTCCTGGAGTGGCTGCGATCCCTGCTGGTGCTATGCCTCCGGTACCGGCGGCTGTGGCTCCTGTGGCTCCTGTGGTTTGGACTTTTATTGCTGCTCCTGGAACAATGTCTGCCGTTTCGGTGGTGGCTTCGCTTGTGGCTCCTCCCCCTGCTGTAGCTCCTCCCCCTGCTGCTGCGGCTCCGGTCGGAGCTGGAGCTGCTGGCGCCGTGGCTGCGCCTCCTGCTCTCGTGGTAACTGCCACTCCTCCTGTGACGCCTCCGTCCGCGGCTTGTGGTCCTCCTTCTGCTGTGGCTCGGGGAGTGCCTCCTTCTCCCCTGACTGTGCGAGTTCCTCTCTCTGTGGGAGTGACCCCTTGCTCGTTCCCTACTGTGCCTGCTCTCAACCCTTTCCTCCCTCCGATGCTCCCTTGCTCTCCTCTCCACCGGGCGCGCGCTGGATTTAGATGCCTGCTTTTCTTTGTTATCGGGTGTTTTTACCTCATTCAGACCCAGAACCTCCAGCATCACATCTCCAGGAGAAGCTGCTTCTTCCGCTATAGGTTCAACCTGGTCCTGAGTTCCTGCTTCTCCAGTACATTTCCCGCTGCTTTTCTTAATCAGGTTGCACAGCAGCTTCTCCCTCAGCTCCCTCTCTTTGCGTTGGAGCTCCAGAGCTCGCTGTTTCTCCGTCTCCACCCTGCGCAGCTCCTCCTCCTGCTTGCGCCGACAGGCCTCCAGCTGCTGAAGACGGGCTAGTTCCTCCTTCTGTCGAGCCTGCTCCTGCCTCTCCAGCTCCTCGCGTTCGGCCTTCTCTTTTTCCTCTTGCTGCTGCTTCATAGTCTACAAAAAAAAGGGACCACACACAGGAAAATAGAAAGATTAAAGACAGAAGAGGACATTACATCACTGGGCCTTAAAGCTTTGTTGTTTGCAGTGAAAGTGTAGCAGGATGAGTTTTGCTGAATCAGGACTAAGGAAAAGCCGATGGGGGGGGGGGGCAAGTGGAATTTAAAAAAAATTCCCATTCACTGGACAGGGAGGAAGTTAGAGGGAAAAAAGATCTGCTTGTATTTGTGTGCCCTGTCAAAGTTTAACTTAATGAACCTGCGGGTTCCAGTAACTCTTTTCGGCGCAGGCCAGCGCCACACTGTGGGGGTTTGCTACCTTTGCTCGGGCCAGAAGCTCAGCAATCAGCCGTATTGATTCCAGATTTCGCTGAGCTAGCAGCAGCCTCCTCTCTTCCATGGCGATCTTCATCTGCAGCTTTTTCTGCTCCTCCTCCTGCTGCCGCCTCACCTTCTTCAGATTCTTCTTCTCTTCTTTCTCCCGCAGCTTCTGCTCTCGCTTCCGTATTCTTTCCTCTTTCCGCCTCTCCTTCTCCTCTTCTTCTTTCTCCCTTTGTTTCCTGAACAGATGATTAGGTTTACACTGTGAATATCATACCAACTCCTTTAATTGGACAAAACATTAATTGTTTCAGTTGTGATGCTCTAAAGAGGAAAAAAAGACACAATCATATCAAGTTGCCCACATAAGAGGAATGGAAATAACTTGGTGGTATTGCCTATTGCTGAAATGATCATATTTAAAATTGTTATTGACCCACAACTTCCGTTGGTGCATTCCTGGTCAAAACACATTATGTCTGTATTACAGCTTCATAGCTGGAAAAGTCAATGTGCTGAGAGGCCTGGGTGTGGTCCAGTTGTTTGGAATCATATATAAAGGAAGAACTAACTGCAACCATTGCTGCATTCTTTTCTCTGATGGAGAAATAATTTTGCTACATTTTACATTAGTGTTTTTCTAAGAATACCATCTACATTTATAATGCTGACGAATGGCAGCCTAATCTTTGAGATGGATGGACCTCAGGATATTAGTTTGAACCATCCCCAACCTGTTCCACACTTCATTTGTACCTCTCCTCCTCTTTTCGCCGCTCCTCCTCCTCTTTCTCCCGCCGTTTCTGCTCCTCTCTTTGTTTCTCCAACTCCTGCAGCTTCAGCCTCTCAAGGCTCCTCCTCTTAATGGACAGCTCGCTCAGGTGCTTGCTTGTGTCAAAGGTCACCTGAGAAAAACATTTCATCACTTTTTTAATGCACTGTAACGACTTTTGCGAAGGCTCTTGCGTTGGTCACTTCTGTTACCTTCAAATGTCTACTCAATTATCATCTTAGTTCAAAAACACAATAAGCAAAACAGATTTAGATATAACTCACCTTTTGCTTCACTTATCTTTAAACAGACCTTCCTTTCCTCTTTTCAGGTTCACTTACTTTACACAGCTTATTTTCAGTGGATTAGGAGACTGTGCTCTCTATCTTAACCCTGAAAGCACTGACGCTGCGTCTTCGCTTCTCATTTCATTAAAAGGTCTTAAAGCTTCTTTGTGGCTCTAGCTGCCCCGGTGTCATTGTTACAATGTACATGTATAACTATAAAGTTGTAATTACTTGTTGGTCTAAGGCACAAAACAATTCAGACAAATCCACGCTGTTAATGTGTGACACTGACTAGTTTCTAATTGACTGATGAAGAGTGCTGTGGGCTCAAACTGGTCAAATTTGGGTGCTAGAGATTACTCGAAGCTGCTTTACTGCATAACCTTGCAGATACTAAAAATACTCTGCCTCTGGTATTTACACAATCATGATGTTCAGACTTGTGATAAAAAATATCTTTAATCATAAAAAATAAAAGAAGTTGAACATTTTTAATGTACCTTAATGTTGCACGCCACCGCCTTTCCATCCTCTCCTTTCAGCATCAGCTTCATGCCTCGCATAGTGTCCATGGCCTTTGTGAAGCCACAGTATTCCTGATACTGTACATAAGCCTCAAAGTTCAGGTGACCACCAAAGCTGAATGTACTGAAGTTCTTGTCAAGCATCTCCTCCCTGTATGGGTCCAGCATGGGAATATCAACATTCCGCACCTGAAAGACACATCACACAAAAATACCAAAAATTAAGGACATTAATGAATGTTTTGTGCCATGGATAGGTAGAAATAAGCATATTAGGACTGCTGTACATCTTAATTTCCTTTAACATTTAAGCTGGAAGTAGAATCACCTTGCCAAATGCCTGGAAAACGGCTGTAAGAGCCTCTTCTGAGGGCCGGTCTGGGTATTGGCTGTCTTTCTGGCTGAACCAGCGGCACGGAAGTCCTTCCAGGTGGATGGTGTCAGGCCTCTCGCCTGGCAGAGTCTCATTCATGTCCTTGGCATCACGGAAAAAAGAATCCCAGTCGTGACGTGTGGGAAAGTCCATCTTATTTTCTACCGCACGAACCTGAAGAGAGAAAGACCAGTAAAATACATCATTGGATATAACGAACCGTTACAATATCTTATTCAGAAAGCTTATGTGCAGTTCTTAGGTGTAGACTTCATAGCATGAGGTATTTCTTATATCTGGTCTACCACTGCTATTAACAGCTGGCCAAACAGATTGAAAGCTACGTATGGATTGAGTAGAAGGCACATTAAGCAACGGGGCAAACTTGTCCTACCTTGAGTACATCAGTGAATCCACTTAGTTTGATCGTTTTTCCATCCAAACGCCCTAGCAGGCTCTTTACCACCATTTTGTTTTCTACCTCTCCTTCAAAACGGATGAAATCCATGGTGCTCTTGGAGATTCGCAGGGCTGAAAATAGCTCCGGGGCGACCATGGCCTTCACTCGCTCCATCACTTCCCAGTTGGAGATGCTCTTGCCTGGCAGCTTGAGTTGGGGCAAAGCCACGCTGACGGTCATTTTTGCAATGGGTTTGAGGTACAAGTTGTACTTATCGGACAGACACACTGCCTCTGTTGTGTCGTGGACGATGGTGGTCATTGTAGCAGACAGGAGGGACAGCTGCAAGCAAAGAGACGTTAGACAAAAACATAATTTATATTTGAAACATTTCAATGCCTAAAACAAACCTGAAAAGTTTAATGTTGATGGACCGTTCATAATTACATTAATAACTCTGCAAAACTATTAAAATCAATGATTTGAAGTTAAAATTTCTAGTAAATTACAGACAGTTAATGAGTTGCTAACACTCTGACACCTCTGATGATGCACCTTTTCGAACCTTCATATTTCTTAAACAAACTCGGAGAAACATAATAGCATTCATCAGAAATCAGCAACTTTGCAGGGATGAACTATAAGCTTTTATACACAACCCGTGGTTAATTACCATTTTATCTATAAAAAAGCTCAAAGTTTTCGCTAAACTTACGACAACTTTAGCTAACATCCGTTTAGCTAACGCCTGTATTAATGTGGTCTAAAACAACCACTTAGATGAATTTAGACTGGATAGTAAATTACACAAATGCATACAAAAGGAAAGTTTGATTTGATGTTCTGGACAGCTCACCTAATCACAACAGCCAACTCATTTTATCAACCGCAGGCTAGTTAGCTTAGCTTAGCCGGTTCCATAACTACCGCCAGAGGTGTGAAACAACGGTCAGTCTGCTTGTATGTACATTAGTTAACACGTCTGTTAACTGCGGATACAACCACAACTTACCAAACATCAGTTGGCCGTTTGATGGTAAAAAAAAAATGCAGCGACAATCTTGCTGTAGTTCGCTAAGGTGAAGAAAACATTAGTGGACAGAAGTCATCCAAACAACCATTAAAACCTGAGAAGCTGCTTCGTGCTAATTCCGCATGCAGTCAACTTTCACCTCATCAACAAAAAGACATGTGACGTCATCGTATTAGCTCTGGCCAACAAAGACAGCGCCCCCCAGTGGCCAAATACACCTTGGAAGAACATATAGTTAGAAAATAAATAAATATATATATTATATTTTTTACGATGTATATATATATATATCATAAAAAATATTATATATATATATATATATAATATTTTTTCAAGGTGTATATATATATATATATACAGTATATATAAAAAAGGAAAAATGAATAAGAGATCAATAATGAATAAAACAAGTCAGTGAGTAAAGTGTAAATCTGTGTCTGTATGTCACATTTAATATTTGCAGTATACAGATCACCGATAAGTGCTGACATACCTTGTATTGATGCTATAAATCACATGTCAAAAGCACGGCTGGGTAACAGTAAATATGCGTTGCTATAGGTTGATGCCAATTTGGCAAACTCGGGCGGACATTCGGCTTTGTATGAATGTCACCATCACTGCAGTAACTCCTTCAGCTGAAAGCGAGGGAAATAGATGCACTGGACATGGATTAGTCCAACAAGGCCCCAGGCAAAAAAGCTGGCACAGATTCCCTGTAAAGATGGAAGAGGAATTTACATAACAGGCATTGCCCCTTTCAGTTCGTATGTAGGTCAGTAACTGCAGGCAGAGAGGCTCTCTGTTCTGTCCTGATCAGTGGTTATCGAATAGAGAAGTTGCCCAAGGCAACTCTGAATGTCACAAGGGCAGACAGTTCAAAATCTCTCCTTGAACAGTAGATGAGGTAAACACCAGAGATCCACGAAACACCAAAAGACTTGTGAGCGTTCCCATTAATATAAGCAATACACTTTGGAAATGCAGTTTCTGCTTGTGTGTCATACCGATTTTAAATTGTAAATCTGATGTGATAAACGTGGAAAACAAACTGGGACAGGGTACTGAAATAATGTCAAGAGGATTGTAGAAGCTGGAGTTATCTTTTTAGTCCCAGGCACTGACAACATTGGCAGGAAATGTGCATCTCTCGCACACACAGGAAGGCTTATGGACGTCAAAATCCTCTTCTATTTATATTTTATATGTTCCCCTGCAAAATGCATTCTGCAGACAAGCTTGGATAAATGCCAAATAGAAAAACACACAAATAAATGAAAGAGTAAACTACTTGTCACATGCAGGATATGCAGATAAAATGGCTTGCACTCCAGAGACAAACAGAGATAGACGGATGCAGATGTCAGGTCGGGGAGGATCACCACGAATTTCACTTTGGCTGAAAAACTAGCTGTGAATCTATTATGTGCTAAAAAGCCTTTGGACAGGAAGTTGTGGATTTACTGTAAATGCTCCACCAAAGCTGGGTCAGGGGTCATCAGATCATCCATTATTCAGCACCAACAGACAAGGACAATCGCTGGCCGTCAGCAGGAACAGCGGCTGGACTAGGCTGCTTCATTTGGTGCTTTAGCCTCATGGCCCTCTACAGATTATTTTCCTGGCGTAAATCCCCTTTAGATCTTCTATATAATTACTCAATGTTTATAAAATGGTGTACAATAACTTGTGTGACTGCTTAACTTCACTTTTGCCAAAACAAGTATTGCTTTAATTCACATTTAACAACAAAACATGACTAGAAAGACAAAAGTGCCTTATCAAAAATGATTCCACATCACAAAACTACACAGTATTTCACAAACAGGGCTGACCCAAATATTTACAGAATAAAACAAGTGATTAGGTTTGACATTTCTCACACTCGTGCAACTGAGAGAGGAAATCCCATTGATACATTTCCCCTTCCAGTGTCTCTCAACAATAATTTGAAGCACAATGAATAAAGTACAAAAAATGCTACAAAATACAGGGGGGAACATAAGTGAAATCTAGCATATGTCGTTAGGGAAGTCATGTTCACATATTTGGGAAACCGGTCAGGAAGTCTGCTCAGTGCAGCCCAGCTGAGCATCCAGAAGATTCTGGATGACACTTTTTGCTATTCAGATATAACAAAGGTAATAAAAAGGTTGAGTGATCGTTTCTATAGAAAGGTTGGACCTGTTGACGAGGGCCGACAGAGACCTTCATTCAGTCTGAGACACTGCAGTTTGCTTGATTACCTTTTTACTGTAAAACTAATCGACATTCTGCTGGACATCTATCATCGTGTGGACCAAAGCCCAAACTGAAAAGCACCGATGTTATCTGTAAAATTATCTTCAGACGAATGAAGCTTCAATTCTGAATTAAATCAGTGAATCAGTGTCATGTTAAGAAATGTGAGATTCCCTGGAAGTCAAATATGTCCGAAAAAATGTCCAATAAAAAACAACAGAATCCCAATAATAACCCGGAGTGAAAAAAGAAGTAAAAACAGTAGAAAATTGGATGTATTCGACATGATCCATGTGCTTCTAACCAGGAAAAGAGTTTCATTGCAAACTAATGAGTGTGCTTCTTGACGTTCGGTGCCAAGTGTCAAAGAACATGAGTGAAAGGTTTGGAAACAAATATGCAGCTTCATTTGTGCTTCGTATACATGGTGAATGAACTCTATTCGCTCCAAACAGCTGGAGGGGTTCAGGCTTCTGCAGCCCAATCCCACAAAACAACAACCAGCTTCAAAGTGACAAGTGCAAACCAGCTGACTGTACAAGAAATACAAGAAATAAAATCTGTTAATAAGTAAATCACCTCAATTGTTATGTACAAAAAAATCCCCATCAGCACCATCCAATTAGAAGAGATAAAAAATGTAAATACCCAACTCTGTAAATATATTACTTTGTAAACATACGTGGTTATGCAGGAGAGTCTGGAACTGATACAAAGTGCTACTTTTGTAGAATTATGCTGCTGGAATGAAAGCTCAATGTTGTTTTTTGCATCATACCAAAAGGAGGATACCTGGTTTGATCTTTTTAGCTGCTCCAAATTAGGTCCTGAAAATACAGAAAGACGTTGATGCTACATGAAGTGTCCCTTCCATTCTGTGAAAAACAAAAGTCTAAGAAGATGTGAAAAAGTTTTAGAAAAACAGAAATTTCTGGTTATCCCTGGTAAATCACCCTAAAAAAACAAAAAAAACATATAAGGTCCAAAAATGAACTTTGAATCTTGATTTCTGAACACCGGATTTGTGTCATAGAAATATCTGACCACTCATCTTAGAAAAGTTAGAAATCTGAAAATAAAAGTGAATCTAGAGGGGTTAATTTTTCTGTGTCGCAGGCTTGCCTTCACCCAAACAGGTTGGACAGCGGTCTGGGCCGCAGAGGGCTGCTGGGTAGGTCCTCCCCTCTTCCCACCTCTCCCGTGTCCCTGAAAGAGGCGCTGTGGATGATCTGGGCCCGGTGGCGCCCCCGGTGCAGGCGGGCGTTCAGCCGGCCGAGGGACGTCTTCCTCTGCAGGCCGCCCTTGGCCTTCCCGGACCCCGGCGACTCGTCGGGGGGCTCGGCCGGGGAGTTGAGCAGCCGCAGGGGGTTCAGGTTGCCCTGGAGGACTTTGGGGAACCTCCAGCCCCGCCCTCTGGAGCTGCCATTTTCCGCGTCCGACTCGGCTCCGGGCGAGGTGACCACTCCGTCCTGCTGCAGGTCGGCCACCAGCGGGGGGGGCAGGTACTGGATGGCCCGCCTCCCGCTGTAGTCGCGAGTCTCTGGGTCCGCCTCCCAGTCCGACAGCAGCACCCGCACAACCTGAAAATCACAGCAGAGCACATCCTAACGTCAGGTACTGTTCGCTTTAGCGCTCCGATATGACTCCAGTTTGCATCTTCTTTTATGATTTCATCCAGTTCTATCAAAATAGTTACTTTCACAGATCGTTTCAATTAAAATAAACAAAAAAATCTGTTCGATTTTGGTCAAACAGCTTTTCTAAAACACTAACATTTGTGTTGTTTCGCTGCTATCTTAATCACATGACGAAGACAGTTTCAGGCTTTGTATTTCGTCACCATGGAACCATGAACACATTCTTAAAAATGAATGAAACTACATGGACAGGTTGGGAGCGAGCTGTTAGGTGCCGTTGTTCTTGGCTCGTGTAACAAATGACATCCGACTCCCCGCGACCCACCTGCGTGTGTCCGTGCATGGCCGCCAGGTGCAGCGGCGTGTACCCGGCGCCGGACCTGACGTTCACGTTGACGGGAACGGCGTTCTCCTTGGCGAAGGCCAGCAGGCGGGAGATGAGCTCGGCCTTGCCCTGCTTGGCGGCCCAGTGCAGGCAGGTGAAGCCCGTCACGAAGTCCCGTTTGCCCAGAAGGCCCGGCTCCACCGCCAGCAGCGGCTGCAGGCTCTCCCACAGGGCGTCCGACGCGCACAGCATCCACTCGTGCTCCAGCGGGTCCAGAGTGACCGAGGCGCAGTCCTCGTCCGCGTTGGAGGAGAGCAGCGAGGCCGAGTCCCCGTCGCTCCTCACCGAGTCTCGGATGCGGGAGCCACGGTTGATGAGGGACCTCCGAACCTGCGGGAGACGTGTAGGAGATGTTGCGTTTCATGTTTCAACTTAACAGTATTCCTATATCTATGATTCCTACCTGAGGAGAGCTACTCATCATCAGCTCTATGAAGTTCCGGCGGCTCCCTTTGGGCGTGCTGATGTCTCCAATGGTCTCCAGCCCCTCCAGCGCGCTGTCCTCAGACAGGCAGCTGATCAGCATGGCCCGCTGGGACCCCTTCGACACCCTGCGCGCCCCCCTGACCTGCTGGCTGTGGGACGCTGCAGAGTGGGGCTGGTCTGCATCTTGAATCCCAATAACTGGGGCCGACTCTCGCCTCCTCCTGTCCCTAAGCTTCACCTCTCCTCCTCCTCCTCCTCCTCCTCCAGCAGCCGTAGGAGTCCCTGGGACGGCCTTATTATGAGGCAGGGGAGCGTGTTGTTCATTGCCATTTAATTTTTTGTCATTGTCCACGCTGACAGACATTGGACTTAATGCTCCTGCAGAGAGATCGGACAGGTTCCTGTTATTATTTTTATGCTCAATGCTGAGCTACATATCTCATAATTGAAGAGGTTATTGCATAATCCTGGCAGACATGCCACATAATCCTGAACAGGCAAACAAATGAGGGGATATTATTACATTTTTTATATCTACTGTTCTACTTTTAAGTTGTTTTTAAAAAAATGTTTGAAAACAAAATCCACTTTGCTGGAGTTCAGAACAATGGTCCCATCCTTATATTTCATCACGTTATACAACTCGGTCGTCACACACTAAACATTAATCCCAAGCCAGATAGACCTGTTTAGATCCAGCCACACACGTAAAAAAAAAAAAAAGACTAAACAAAACTCTGGTCCAAACGAGTGTCATCAAAATGGGCGCGTCTCCCTCACCTGTTTGGTCTTCGTTGTCAGGGTTTCCGTTCACAATTTTGTTGTCCAGCGTTTCTTTGACGTTGCCGTTGCACTCCGTGCGGTCGGGGCCGTCCGCGTCCTTACGCATCACCGAGCCCACTCCACCTTCGGTGTCCAAATACACAAATTTCACGCCGTTTTCCACCTCCACGCCGCACACGTTGTCAACAATGCGATTCAGCACCTCGCGTTCCACCTCCTCTTCTGACTGGTCATTACACCCCCCATGTGAAATGAAATGATCGATCAGCTCCATCTGTTGGACCCTCCCTCCTCTCTCCTGCAGGAACTCCCGCACGCTTTGCTGGGTGCACCGGGACGCCATTATTATCCCGAATGACGTGAAACGATTGCAATTATGGCTGGTTTAGATATGAAACGGCATTGCGAAATCGATCCATGGTCAATGCTCTCTCACTTAAGTCGGTAGCAGCAGATGACAGCATCTTCTACAACGGCCTCCTCCTCCTCCTCTCCTCTATTAGCAATCTGTACCAGACTTCAGCAGATAGGGGGCGCTCGAGACGCGTGAAGCAACAAAGTGATTCACTTATTGCGATAGTAATGCTGCGTTTGCGACTCGTGTTAAAGTCAGACTTTTAGCAACAAATAAAATCAACCTACGATGTTGAAAAGTATTAATACTATTCACGAGGATTATAAATGATAATGCCATGAAAAAATACTCCAAAATGTGTATTTAGGTAAGACACGAATATCCAGGAAGCAGTGCCAAAACAAAGTAACATCAGTTGCAGAGCTTTCAAGCGATTTAGCAAATATAATTTAATGATACCATTGAACATGGTATCGCTTTGCTTTGGCGGTGAGAACTAAGCAGGTCAGAAGATTAATTTAGTATATATGACAATATTGTTCATAACATTCGAATTTTCTTATGTTCACATTTCTCAGTCAAAGATAAAGAATGGGACTTAGGCTGTATGGGATCAGCTTTACATGTTTTCTAATATTTGTCAATGTAGCACAAGAATGAGGAAAATTGTTGTGGGCTGTACCATTATTAAAAAAGAGGGCAAATTAATGGTTTCAAAAAGACTACATTTCCAGTTTAGGTTGGTATTTTTCAAAAATTTGAAGAATATGACTTTATACTGTAGTCATAATAGTATGTCGGCAATTGATGCCCTATTTTACAAACTGTTACTCTTTAAGTAACTTTTTGAACAAAGGAGTTACCCTAATTCTCAAAGTGTTTTGAGTAGGCTCGTCTGTCCAGTTGTCGACTGTAGTGGCGAAGGCGCTCCAGGATTCTTGGATACAGAGACACACGGAATAAAAAGAAAATCCTATTCTCTATCTGTTACTTTTTAATCCTCGTGGGATATTAACGTCTGTCTACAATTATGACTTCATCGGATGTTGCTCGGCAGCCGGTTAGTATTCTTCTTCCCCGTGGTTTACAAATAACTCTTCTTGACAGTTTAGCAGGGAGTGTCCCAAGCTATTATAAAGTTAGCTACCGCTTTCCCCACAACCACTTTAAAGTTGTTGAAAAGTTGCAATGTAAACACGGCTAAAGATTGCGATTTGGCAAAAATATGGATGTTCAAATGGACATACATATGACACTCGTTGTCTCATGTATGTGGATTGGACGAAGAGATTCCTTGTTTCATCAATGGGGAGAGCGCTAGCTGCTAGCATAACACTGGCGTTCCCATGTTAGTTCATGGAAATATTTAGTCAAGTCTTTTTTTTCTTTTTCTTTTTTGGACTTGGAAGCATTTTTATCTATTTTTGTAATATAAGATTGATAATTTTATGAAGTAACTGTCACAATTATAATTAAATATATATTCTTGTTTTTTTACTGATTTAAAAAATAAAGATTAAAAGAAAATAACACCTTCAATCTGGAAATATATTAAAAATTGTGAAACAAAACAAATCATTTTGACTCTCAGTTAAGAACAAAAGTAGTTGAAATCCTCAGATATAAGAAAAACTGTTTGACAAAGACACCCACTGTGACTGCATTCTGAGCCCTTGCTGCAGGATAAGTGCATTATTCTGTTGAATGATATGGTGAACAAAGCTTATTGGGCTTCTATAAATAACTTCAGAGTAGGGTCTGACCTGCTCTGTTTGGAAAGTGCTGTGAGATAACCGCTGTTATGATTTGGCGCTATATAAATAATACTGAATTTAATTGAATGTAATGTGATTTGTAGGATAAGGGAGTCCGGCCCCTGTCCTTGGCTGGCCATGTTGGCTTTGATAGCCTACCGGATCAGCTTGTCAACAAGTCCATCTGCCAAGGCTTCTGCTTCAACATTCTCTGCATTGGTACCTGAGCTTATACAAATAGATACAAGATTCCTTATGTTGTGATATTAATAGGTTTCACTGTGCACTTTGTGTGCATGCACACAGTTTTTGTTTTGTTTTTGTTGCTTGAGTTGTAGCTTTTTACAAACTGTCTTCTTAAATGTACTTTGTTTGCTCACCTGTTCATATAGTTTTTTTTCTTCAGTTGAAGTAATTCAAACAAAACTTTAGGTTTGTTAAACAATTTTAAATTCGGTTATGAAAAAAGATTTTTAGAACTACATAATTCATGTGGAACATAAGAGGAACCTCTATGGATTTTATTTTACTAGCCATATACATTTGTAATTCACTAATCATTTTCTTTATTTCAAACCAGGTGAGACCGGTATAGGGAAGTCTACATTAATGGACACCTTGTTCAATACCAACTTTGAGAACTTCGAGTCTTCCCACTTTGAGCCTCAGGTGAAGCTGCGGGCCCAAACCTACGACCTGCAGGAGAGCAATGTCAGGCTACGTCTCACTGTGGTCAACACTGTGGGATTTGGAGATCAGATGAACAAACAAGAGAGGTGGGACTGAGGGATCTGTTGCTGGCTGAGTGTTGCGATAGAAAAGCTGTTGTGATGAATGCCATGAAGATCCATTTTTCAATGCATGATCTGCCATACAGATCCTTGATTGCTACCGTATGTCTGTCCTGTAGCTATCAGCCGGTGGTGGACTACATTGACAAGCAGTTTGAGAGCTATCTACAAGAGGAGCTAAAAATCAAGCGCTCTCTACACAACTACCATGACTCTCGAGTCCATGCCTGCCTTTACTTCATCTCCCCTTCGGGCCATTCGCTGAAATCACTGGACTTGGTGACGATGAAGAAATTGGACAGTAAGGTAGGAAATGTCCCACAGCGCTGTGGTTTCACAAATGTTTGGAGTTAGACAGGCATGCACGCTCATTTACTCCTGGGGTTAGTTAAGAATCATTAAATAATCTAAAGTGAACAGTGGGAGGAAGCAAGAATACCTGGAGAAAACCCACTCATACAAGGAGAACTATGCAGACTGCGTGCAGGAAGGCCAGCCAGGATTCAGACCAGCAACCCTCTCGCTATAGCTGACCGTGTCTCCAGCAGCACGTGAAGGATAATTCAGCTTTATTATACAAATGTTTCTTTAACAACAGATATCAAACAATTTTTTACAGCAGTAACCTTATAAGTCTTATGAGCAATTATAAACCGATATGCAGTTTTATTCTTTCTTCTTTGACCAGAGCCAATGGGTTCTGATGATGTCAGTTTATGTGTTTCCTGTTTGCTGTTTGCTGTACAAACATTTCTTTTTACTCACAGTTCAGCCTCTGCATTCCAGGCGGCCATTAATTAATTCAGCCATAACTGGTTATTCTAGGCTCAGTAATTACATATTGAGTCTGACATAATCAGCTCACTTCACATCAGCCGTGTTTCAGAAATTCAAAGTTAGTTTTTCTGAGTTCTCTGAGCAGGGAGGCTGCTGCAGGCTTTGCTTTTATTTAGACGGTATGTTTTTTGAGCTTCTCTCCTAAAAGTGAAATGTAATGAAGAGATGTTGGTGGTGTTGTTTCAGAGAAAGTACACAAAATCCAAAAAGTACATTACAATAGAATATTAAAGTCATATGGCAAGAAAAGTTCTATTGAAACTAGCAGTACACAACCCATTTCCGGAGCCAAACAGATTGACTTTGAATAATATAGAATTAGTCTTTTTTCCCAAGAGGAAATGTTGAAAAAAAGATGTCATGTAAAGCTTATTTACAGAAGAATCAGAGGGGAATGTCGCTTGAGAGCTTATTAGAAATGGATGTGTGTGTCTAAGAGGCTATGCTGTGGTGGCTTTAATGTGTGATTGCTGGGAGAAGTTCAAAATCTGCCGGGCCAAGCCCGCCTTCTGTCACTCCTGAGGTGGTCACAAACTTTCCCATGCTCTCTGTGTGTAGTGCCTCTGTGTATCTTTGTGTGTTTGTGAGGTTTTTCTCCTCTGAAGTGGCAGTAACCCTGGATTTGTGTGTGAAAGGAACAGAAGAATCGGAGGAATGCTGTAATCGCCTCACGCACACACTCCGGAGTTGTCCTTTGTGTTACTGTACAGACGCACGCAGAAAGAGCCGATTGTTGCGTCTGCTGCAGTGACAGTTAGTCACTCACTCCCGCAGCTGTTTGGGCAGATCCTCCCACATCGTTTGGTTTACTCTGCTGGGATCCACACGAGTGTGTGGCCTGGCCCCGAAGCTTGCCTGGTGACAACAACTCATTCCAGGCCTTTATTTGGTCCGACATAATGACAGACAGGAATGTGGGGTGACTTGGCAACAGATTTAACGGCCTGGTAGAAAAAAAGATGTAAAAGGATGATTAAATAAGGCTCATCTAAAAACAGTTTGGAAAAAAAAAAAAGTTTTGGTTATTGTTGTTTTTTTATTTTTGTCCTAAGCCTGGAAATTTTTGTAACGATGAATCCGAGTAGGTAAGAGGAAGCTGCTGTTCACAAACGCACGTCCCGTCTGGCTGCAGGTGAATATCATCCCCGTGATCGCCAAAGCCGACACCATCAGCAAGAGCGAGCTGCACAAGTTCAAGATCAAGATCATGAGCGAGCTGGTCAGCAACGGTGTGCAGATCTACCAGTTTCCACTGGACGATGAGACCGTGGCCAAAGTCAACACCGCCATGAATGTGAGGACACACACACGTACACACACACGGGCTCACACACGCAGCGGCGTCTGGACGTTTAGGCGCCGGCTCTCGGTGACTTGACCTGATTTGTGGTTCTGTCACAGTCTCAGACGTATATTCCCATTAACGCATGTTTTTGTTTTCATTACCTTGTGAGGTTTTGTTGCGAAGAGAGTGGAGCTATGCAAGAAAATTCCTGATTGATAGTTTCCAGTTTTTTGTAACTCTGCCTGCCAAGTTGCACATTTTTGGTTGTTTGAAAGTTCCAGCAGGTCGTTTCCTCCCCAATATTTACCTCATGCTCACCGTGTTTTAATAGGGCCATTTGCCGTTTGCTGTGGTGGGGAGCACAGAGGAAGTCTCTATTGGCAATAAAATGGTGAAAGCTCGCCAGTACCCGTGGGGAATCGTTCAAGGTAGGATGGATCTGTGGTGGCGGGTTTTACTGCGCAGCTTAACTCTTTCTCCCATGAAAAGAAAGAGTCCTTTGGCCAGTGTGTGGGTTTTTTGCCTTTTAAGCCGTCAGCATTAACACCGCTCTGTGTTTGGTGAATGTCAGTGGAGAATGAACATCACTGCGACTTTGTGAAGCTGAGGGAGATGCTCATATGCGTCAACATGGAGGATTTAAGGGAGCAAACCCACACGCGGCATTACGAGCTTTACAGGCGCTGCAAGCTGGAAGAAATGGGCTTTAAGGACACGGACCCGGAGTGCAAACCCGTCAGGTGAGTCCCCAACTCGCCACAACCCGGCCGGACAAAGCGTCCGCCCTGCTAACCGACTCAAACCTGCGTGTTTTTTTCTGTTCAAAGCCTTCAGCAGACCTATGAGGCCAAGCGCCAGGAGTTCCTGGTGGACCTGCAGAAGAGAGAGGATGAGATGAGGCAAATCTTTGTGCAGCGGGTGAAGGAGAAAGAGTCCGAGCTGAAGGAGGCGGAGAGAGAGGTACGCAGCTTCTGTCCTGGTGTCTCGACGTGTAACCGGCAGGTTCACGACTGAAATTAAATTAATTCGCTCTTTGTCTTTTAGCTTCAGAGTCGCTTTGAGCAGTTAAAGCGCCTCCACGCCGACGAGAAAGCAGCTCTGGAGGAGAAGAAGCGGCTTCTGGACGAAGACCAGAGCTCCTTCAGCAAGAGGCGAACAGCCGCTCAGCTCCTGCAGGCCCAGAGCCTCACCGCCAACGGCAAGAAGGACAAGGACCGCAAGAAGTAAGAAGCCCCAAATGCATTATCAGGGACTTGATGTGGGATCTGAGAACCTTTGAGGATAATTGGTTGCACATTTTTTAAACCAAGTGCACATTTACCACTTTCTGGATGGAGGATTACAGAGCAGAAGCTTTAGTGGACATTCTGCTCCATAACAGTTCTACAAGTGGCTGATTTTAATCCCTATCTATTTTCTCTTTCAGCTCTGGCTTCATGTGAAGACTTTTGAATGTGATGGACCCTCCACTGACCAGCGTAACCAATGACATTCTTTTCTCATCACCTTCCTCAAGTCTGAAACACTAAACCTGAAACTGCCACACAGGCCCTCGGCATGTATGAGCATGACTCGCCAATGTTTAAAGACTGTACACTTTTCTCCATGGTATTTTTAAAAATCTCTTTTGTAGGCTTTATGGCTTTTTGTGTATTGTTTTTCTTCTATTTATCCTGTCATTTATATATGAAATTTTTATTTTCTGCATACTTCCATGTTTTTTGTTTTTTTTTACTCATAGAAAAATCTGCTTCACATGATTCTGTTGAACAAGGGAAAGGTACAGATGCAATAATGGGAGATACCTCTTCATCTGTTCACGCTGCCAGATGTTTTTCATATTTTTTCACGTAAAGCTTGGAAACACTTTCCACATGTATCTTAAGGTGAAGACTTTAAAAAGGCATGTTTATGTTGTCTGTCATAAGTTTTCACCATAGCTTTGGGTTAAAATCGAATACATTATTTCTGTTAACGTACAGTAGCTGCAGGTTACATTCTTTAGTCTTTTTAATCAGTAAAGTATAATATGAAACAATTGACAACACTTACAATAAGAGAGATTGCTGTTGAGGTACAAGCACAACACTTACATTACAATAACTATAGCCAAATGTTTGTTTTTATCTGAAAGAGGTTAAAATAGTTTAACTGCTTTATTGAGATTTATTTCTGAGGGTTTAAACTGCATCTGTTACAATTTTTGTAAGTCAGTGTTATACACACAGCATTGAGGCTTGTTTAGAATCCTCCTCAGAGGGCATTATGCTTCCTTATTGCTTCTCAGGCTTGAATAGAAAACTCCCACAGCTGCCACACTGATCCTGTTGCGCTCGCTGTTTCTGTGCATCTCAATAGTTTGGCATTTTTTGAACACGATGAGCGTGGGTTGATTTGGGATTACAAACACTTTGCGTTTCATTCACTTTCTCTTTTTCCTGTGGGCACAAACGGTTGAAGTCTGCAGTTTCCTCTGTTTCAAAGGAGCCGAATCAACGAAAAATCTATGCATCGTTTCATGTAGAGGGAGGAACTATTTTTCTGTGTTACTATCTATTTTTGTACACATTTTTATTTACTCCTGTATGTAGTGTAACACGACTAGGTTTCAAAGCAGAACACTGCGGTGCCGGTTTCCAGAAAAAGTGAGATGTCTAATCAGAACATTAACTCACTTTGACTGACACTTGACTCTCCAACTAGTTTTTAAAAGATGTTTTGGTGCCTTATCTGTGTGAAACACACTATGTTCATATCCTCGATGCCTGCAGGAGAAAGCACGGGACACATTTGTACTACAACATTTAAGGAGCAAACAGTATTATGTGGACTTGATTTTCTTTTTCTTTATCATAAAATAAAACTATTTTTGTCATGGCACATTGTGTGTTTGTTTATTCAGAAAAGAGAGTAATAAGTAAAACTAAACTTCTCTTTCCAGGATTCAATACAGATTCATTTTTATATTCAGAACTCAATCCCTTTGCCTTCCAGTGTTTTTACATGAATTCATTTCTCTAAGAATAATAGCAAAGATTTTTTCTTTCAAGAGCTGCAGCTTAAATTTCTGCCTGCCCACCACTTGCTTTACTTGACCACAGGCTGTCTTGTGCTATCTGGGAGAGGCTAGTTTCCCTGCAGTGTCTCACCCTCAGCCTCTGTTGCCCTTCAAGTGACTCAAGTGCGGGCACAGACAGGTGGGGAGACAGGTCTGGCACAAATGGGAGGTATGCTGATCGATTCACTGCAGGAGCCTGCGTCACCTTGCTGCTATTAGTCAGGAGAGAAGACACCCAGAAGGAAACGGTCTCTTAAGAGGAAAAGATGGAGAGTGTGTGTTTGTGTGCGAGCAGATGTTTTTCCAGCAAATCTTGCTGATTTCTGTCATATTCTGAAGGAATGAAAACTGTCTTGGCAATGCAGAGATCTCTACAAAAAAGATTCTAAATCAACTGCTTTCATGCAAAAGCATTAAGTGTCAGAATATTTGTGTCTTTAAATCCAGGACAGATGCCACACACCTGCACTGGAAAGTGCTCATGCATTCCTTTACACTGTCACTTGGCGTCTATTTGCCACTCACTCTAAATGTAAATGGAGGTGATCGTTGTCGACAGGTCTAACTCCAGGAGAAATGAGGTTGCTGTTTGAGGAGGGTGCCGGTAACGCTCATAAATGATCAATTACGCACCTCACCTGTATCTTTGTTTGGTGTCAGAGTGCGAAGAGAAAGAGGGAGACAAGAAGAGAGCAGAAGATGGAGAGATTAAAACATGCATATCTCAAGAGCATGTCTGCAGTCATTATGAGAGTAGTCGTTGGTAATCTATACTGTTGCTCAAAAGGTTTCTTAAGCTCATAATGAACACATTGCGAGAAAAGATCATTATAATTGGAGCAGGAAATTAGTCAAAGAATGAATCATCAAAAGGGCATCCGCTATGGCCAAATGACCAACACAGGCAATGTGTTTGTTCTGTATCAAAGCACACTTATAACGTTTTTTGCTTAGTAAAACAAAAGAATGAAAAAACACCACAAAGTAAATTTGCTTTAAAACAAAGGCATTTATTGCGAAAAATGCACTTGACATGAAAAAACAATCATATCAACCACAGGTCATCAGTACAAGACAATGCATAATGATCACATGGTAGAGAGCGCTGGACGCGGCCAGCACAGAGCATGAATTCAATGGCACAAAAGGCCTATAAATATTCTGCACAATATAGAATTATATTTATTTATATAATCTTGTTTTACTCTGTTTCACTCACTGTACCAACTGTCTCCCTCTCAAATGAAGTCTTAATGAGGCATGAGCATCCATAAAGTTTCTTTTTTTTGTGTGTAAAGAGCTACATACAGATGTCTCATCCCTCTGAGTTTCTCTCTTCGCTCACTCACTCATTCACTCACTCACTCACTCACTCACTCACTCACTCACTCACTCACTCA